TAATGCAATATTACGATACCAACATATTTATTGGCAAAATTGCATACTCTGGAATGAGAAACAGATTGTGTCAAGTGGTTCAAGATATATCAAATGATAGTCTGCGCTAAAATCGAAGGGCATCTTTTGTGGAAACTGTAACACCGATTTGAAAGCCAACTGTAAAATATATAATAAATAAATATGTTGGGACATTACCACACAGCACCATCTAGTTCCATAGTAAGCTACGAGGCTTGTGTTATGGATACCAGATAGTTGATATACTACACATATATAACTTTAAATACATACAAATTATAAATATAAACACCCATGACTGGAGTACAAACATTCATGCTCATCACACAAATGAATGTCCCCAGCGGAACTCGAACCCGCGACCGCTGGCACAGCAAGTAGGGTCACTACAAACTGAGCAAAACGTGTCGTCAAAATTAGGCTAAGATACCTCAGATTTACAAAATACTGATATGAATATTGTTTATTGATGCAGAATGTTATTCAGTAAAAGTAAAAACAAATCGCTACATAGTAAAAATATTGTGTTTAAAAAAATATATATATTTTTCAAGATAATCTCAGAAAATACTGTATCTGAGGATTTTTATATGGTTTTTACTAATAAAAATAGAGATTATCTAAGAAGGTTATAGACTATACATAATTATGATAAATATTGTCAAATTAAGGTTTTTTGAATTGGATCAGAATATAAGTCGTCCTTTCAGAAACTTTTGTAATGTTATAAATGCGAAGAGCAATATTAAAAAAAACAGCATTAAAAGGTATAAATATATTTTAAATGCCACAGGTATATTAACCCTTAACCCCTCCACGACCGCGGACACGCCGGCGTTACAGTTAACAATAGATTTCTTAGAAATTTAATTAATTTCTTAGAAATTTACCTGAAGGTGTTAAATTATTTAATTTAAGAATATACGAGAAGGTACTTAAGTCTATATATATATAAAAGAAAGTCGTGTTAGTTACACTATTTATAATTCAAGAACGGCTGAACCGATTTGGCTGAAACTTGGTGGGGAGGTAGCTTAGAACCAGGAGACGGACATAGGATTTTTAGCCCGTCCGACTGCGTTCCCGTATACAAGACTCAAGAACGGCTGGACCAAATTTTATGATATTTGAATTTTTGGATTTCTCTCATTCCGGAATAGGTTAATACCTAAGTATTAAAACGTCAGAAAAATTAACGAAAAAAAAAATATTTATATGGCTAATAACACTGGCTAATAACTATTTATATCTATTTAAAACGTACCTAGCGACGAACCCGAGCGAAGCGAGGGTGAGCCGCTAGTATTTTATAAAACTTTGCCATTTTATTATGCAGTTTCTTTATCTGTAATTGATAATATGCTACGAGTATCTGTAGAATAAATAAAGATATCAATATCATGACTAAATCTTACCTTACAGTATATAAGATCTAGCACTGTGTAATAACAAACAACTTTGTCATAGTGTAGTTTTAGGCATTCGATTGTTAATTGAATTATTATAATCGATTAACTTGCAAATTTGCAAATAGCAACATAAAACACATTACGGTATCGATAATGAAAGTAATTTATTCAAGGTTATTTATACAAATGTTAATTAATTTATTTTTACGTGCTATTTTAGAAATAATAGTATATGAGAAGTTTTCCAGAGGCAGACCCAAAACTAGATGGAAAGATGTAGTGTCAAAGGACATGAAGGAGTGCAGGCTTTCCGAAGACGATGTCTCCGATAGAGCGAAGTGGAGAAGGCTGATTCCACCACCATGTGGGACACATAGCCAGGAAGAGAGAGAGATATGAGAAGTTGAGAACCCAAATGAAAACGTATTCTTACGTTACTCAACTCTAACTTTCTAAATAATATATTATCCGTTTAATACTTTCTTAGATTTACGCGAATATTTGACATTTTACATATAACTATCTTTTCGGATTATTTCGCGGATTTATTTTGATTTTTGGTTCCCGACGTTTCGAATGCAAATGAACAAATATTGTAAGGTACTTTGATACCATTTTTGGATTTTTGATATCATATTTGTAACATAGTGGGTAGGCACTGTTTGTAACAAGTATATAACGCCTTTGAGACGTCTATAACCTTAAGTCTCTCCCGTGACCATGATTCCAGTAAAGCATTCGAAACGTCGGGAAACCAAAATCAAAATAAATCCGCGAAATAATCCGAAAAGATGGTTTTATTTAAAATATTACTCGTTATTAAAAGGCTTAACAAAACGAAACGCTGGAGATACGAGTAAATTCACAACAACGTTCATATTTCATTGACTTAAAAGCTTTACGAGATAACAACTAACATACATTTTGTTGTACATCTAGTACCTAATTAGTAATTACTAATTAGAATACATGAATAACTAATTAATTTAAATAACATGGAAACATTAAATTATCTAGCTGTGAACTTTACCTACTTAAACTCTTTTTAATGTTATGCACGCTATTTCGGTTTTTGGTTCCCGATGTTTCGAAAGCTTTAGGTACAGCAATCATGGTCATGGGAGACTACAAGCGGAGTTTTTTTTAAATGTTAAAATTTAAATATCCGCGTAAACCTAAGCTTTTTTGAAGTAATACTTCTTTTGGCACGTTTGGAAAAAAATATGAAAGTAAAATTTTTAAGATGCGCGCGCATACCGACAGCCAAAGTGACACGATGGAGTTAACTGCATTCCTTTTAGAAACAGAGAGTTGTGACATACGGGATGAAATCTTTAGCTATTTTTGTTCTGTTACGCCAAAGAAGTATAACTTCTTACGTGCGTACATAAGTACATACACGTTTTTATTTTAATATTCGTTCTTTTGTACATGCACGTGAGCCCATTGATACTGCTGCTAATTGTTCTTGGCTTGTTGAGACTTAAAGATCACACGCATTAGGCCCAATATCTTCTCCACTTAAAACTGAGCTCAGAATTTAAGTGTTAAGTAGGTACAGGCGGTTACTAATTCTAAATTAAAAATATCTAACATTATTATATAATTACAAAAAAAATTTCTTCGATCCCATACAATATACATAGTGACAAAGTTACAATTTTTACAAAAAAATCAACGTTGCAAGTCGATTACACGAGGTGGCCTAAATATTTAACTTCTTACAACTAATATGAAATACGCAGACGTATAATTATTTCGATAAATGGCCAAAGAATGCGAGTGTTATTTTCATTTTACAAAAACTTGACGTGACGTGAAATTGGCGGTAAACGAGCTGTCATTTCATTTTTTAATTTTTTAAAGCATCCTGATATCACGCCAACGTGATAGAAGGCCTCTTTAACGGATACTGTTAATCTGACAGGTCGGATGTTTTGACAGCGGCGCAATTACCTGCCACTTTGTTTGGCTCACTGTACCAACCGTTCACATCCGTTCGTTGCACTGATCTGGGGCTTAAATTGACGAGATAATATGTTGTAAATGCAAAATAAGAGCCTGAAATATATATATTTTTAATTTTACTGTACGTTTTCGTAAATACAATGTTCCAATACATGTACGAGTATATATTTCTCTTAAATCCGAAACCGAGACTGTTTTTCTGCAGCAATGGAGCCCTGGATAACAAATTGGGATGTCCTATTATTGTAAAATTGTAATGCTTTAATTTTGTTTTGTACATATTGCATATGTACATACATTCATATTTTTAGCTATGCCTTCATCCATTAATTAATTAATTAATAAAAAGAATTTGCTAATTATAACTTTGAAAATGATAATCATAATGATTGTTTATTGAAGGTTTCCTTTAATGTCTTTATTTAATTTTCATAAAATATATAGAATTAAATTTATGCCTATAAGTTATGTACCAATAAAAATATGTCAAGTAATTAATCTTTTAAGTGATGAAGATAATTTAGCCTGTTTGTTTAACATTATCATTGCTTCTTCACAATTTATATTAGGAAAAAAATATTCATTGTTTCACCATTTATTTATGAAAATATTGTCCTTACAGAGCAGAACAGTCAACAAAATTATGAGATGTTATTAGAATGAAATATTTTGTTATCATATATTTGCATAATACTCAACTATTGTGTGTATGTATAGCGCATAAAATACCAAAACCAAAAATTTAATTAATTTGACACATACACTTTATCATTGGCTAATCAAATTAATTTTACAGTATTTCTGAGTACCCAACAAGAGAAGGCCAATGATGAATGGACGCACTTGAACATCAATGCATTCACTGTATGCAGTGGGAACATTTGCACCAATGTGAGTAAACTTTGTTAGTAGGTTTTTGTTACATAAATAAGAATATTGGAATAAGGTTACATCTTCCTTTTTACTTTCAATTTTCAAATGAAAAACAAAATATATAAAATAATATTTCTAATGCTTTAGAACTTTTTTAATTCTAATAATATATTATGAATAAATATAGATAAAAATATTATAAGCCTAATGATCTTGTAGTTACTAAACTTTTTTTTAAGTTAGATATATAATATTATTATATGTAGTTTAACAATAATTCATATTTAATCAATAAAACAAGATATTATGAATAAAAAATGTATACAGTTGGTGATATACATTAGAATGTTAAAAGTGACTGAATAAATAATGTTATCCATATATGGTTTAAACAAACTAATTGTGATAAAACATGACATAATTTTGTGTTTATCTTTCATAGTGTGAAATCTTTTTGCAAACGATAACAAAAACCTCAGTGTGAATATAAATTTATTTTTCTGAACATTAACAGCAATTACTTAAAACAATTAAATAGTTCAGTTTTACCTGCATTATATTTATAATTTAATCGGCCTTGATAAACGTTTTCAATGTCAATGAACACAAAAACGGGAAAACAGTGTCATTTAAACAGTGGAACATTCTTCTTAAAAGCATCATCTTCATAATAATAAGACAGGTGCAAATATTTTATTGTATTAAATGTAAAAACACCAAAAAACTTACCAATAAAAAGTATCATAAAATCCAGTAGCACTTTTCGCAATAAAAATTTGGAATCACGATCAATAGATATTGAATGGCTACGAGCGTTCGGTTTGCGGTCGTTTCTCTCCATTGTTATTATTAATTATTTTATTTAAAGTTTTAATTTTAAATAATGATAAATATGTGAATATTCGCTTCACAAACGTTACGAAACGTCAAAGCAGACTGAGCGCGAAATGTCACCGTCACACACGTCAACACAGAGCGCATGCGCGCGTCTACTGCCGAGCGAATATCTATTATCTACACAGCTGTACACTGTGTATAGTACAAGCTAGCGCCACGCCATGACAAAAACCACTAGTGCATTCATAAAGCTAATAAATTAATTGAGTTTATAAATAAAAGCCATCATTTAATAGCTTATAAAATTATTGTATTGTTAAATTACTTAATAATAATTACTAGCGCCTTTTTTAATAATTAACCATATGGATTTAATTTATGGTTTAATAATGACCCATGTTAAATGGTCTTTCTTTGAATCGTTATTTATTTTGTATATTAATAATAATAGCTAATAGATATTAGCTAATAGGGTGTGTTCCTAGGTACGCGTTTACAATTTCATGATTTTTAATTTTTTGCGCGGAACACTGATTCTTTTTCTAAAATTAAAATAACTTAAGTTACACCTTATAACATCACCTATCTGCCAGTGAAAGTCCCGTCAAGACCGTTTCGGAGATTAGCCGGAACGGACAGACAGACAGACAAAAACATAAAAAATGTTTTTATCTTATTAGTGGGTGCCGTATATATTTTCATATGCATTTAAAAAACAGTTATTTTGACATTACAAACAGACACTTCAGTTTTATTTATCTGTATAGATTATATATATATGATTTCTTTTTAAGAAGGCATTTATTTTACTTTTATTAGGGAAGAGCAGCTCTAGAGCTATTTTTCGATCTTCAAGTCGCAAAATTAACGTCGCCCGATAGTAACTATAAAAAATAAGAGAGATAGTTTTATTGAAAATAATTTTAACTTCGTATAATTTCTACAAATGTTTGAATAACTAATTTTATATAAATCAATATACTCAGTGTACAATTACAAGTAGTATCTACAAACTATAAAAACAATTGTATAAAGTTATTCTAGTGAATAGGCGCAACTGACCGACAGATTAAAAACTAAAAACTGAATATAGATATAATAAATATTATTCTATTTTTTTTTATTAAACTTAGTTTTTCTGAACCTAAACTTCTTGAAAATTGTTTTTTTTATTAGTTATATGTATTACCACAGATCATATAGTACTATACTGTATTACTTTATGTATATTTTTACTACTGACACTGTAGAAGTAGTAGTAGTAGGCAGTGGTAGTTCAGTGGTAACGCGCTCGCTTAAGAATCCGAGTGAAGTGGGTTCAAATCCCGGGTCTCACACCTCTGATATTTTCATGTGCGAATCATTTCTAACATGATTACCACTTGTCTTGCGGTGAAGGAAACCATCGTAAGGAAACCTGCATGTCTGAGAGAACAGCAAGCAAGTTGAAGACATGTGAATTTCGCCAACCCACACTTGGCAAGCGTGGTGGACTATGGCCTGGCCCCTCGCATTAAAGGGAGGCCCGTGCCCAGCAGATAGGGCTGAATACGAGTAGGTAATTTATTTAGTTAGCTCTGTTCTGTATTAATCTATAACTGATTATGGTTATATCATAATAATAATGAATAATATATTTTATGCAAATATTGAAATCTTTACGTATGATCTTAAGTCATAACTGAATAAATATGCACCAGCTTACAGTAAGTAACAACATAACTTTACAAAATATTACAACTACATACATCAAATACATATAAGAAAAACTAAAATTTGATACTATATAAAAATTTGCCATCACTAAATCAAATACCACAAAAAACTACAACGTGTCGAAATGAAGTCATAAAAATGTTAAATTTTGGGATCGATTGAATTTCACAGTTAAAATTCCGAACTACGCACAATAACTTATAACACTGCTTGGCTTAACTTCATCTTATTCAATTCGGTGACAGCCATGAAGATGTAACGCGACATGCTTATTTTAGGGTAGGGGTATTTTAGGGTTCGGTAGCTATTTTATATAATTTATTTTTACCCTCGTTCGTCATTGAAGATTTCTTGAAAGATTGTAAAGAAAAACAAAAACTAAAATTATAACTTATAATAAACCTTTTTTACTATACCAATTACTTTGTTTATCGTTTTCATATACATTTGATAGGATGTTAATTCGTATTTGATGAATTGAGTTATAATGAAAAAAAAAATCATTGTTTATTGTGATTTCTGCCTTAAACCATAGCCACACTATCGTAGGTATCGTAAGGAAAAAGCTAAATATTCGTATTTGTAACTAGCTTGATTCCCCATACAAACTTTCATTCCCATTTTCACCTCCTTAAGGGATGATTTCCGGGATAAAAAAGTATCCTATGTCCTTCCCAGGGTCTTAAACTATCTTCTTACCAAATTTCATCTAAATCGGTTCAGCAGATCCAGAGATTACCACCTACAACGTCACAAACTCACAAACTTACAAACTTTACCTCTTTATAATATTTAGTATAGATGATGATAAATGTCCCGGTTAGATAGAACAGTGTTAAGTATCAACAATCGCTTTCACATAATATAGCTCGCAACTGCTGTAAAACTTTTTCATCTAAACGTGCAAACTACACCAACTTCTTTATAATAATTTTTCAAATAATATCCTATCCAATAGAAAAAAAACACGAAACTCGGTTTAAAAATAGACTTGAATTATCCTGTTTTTTGAATAATTTTCGTTCAATAAAATTGGCAACATTGTTAGTAATACTATTATTTGTAATACTCTGTGCTTACTTATTATGATATTGAAAAATAAATACCGTTAAATACAGAATAACCTTAAATAACGGCAGGATACACTTTACCGGGTGTAATAGAAAATCATGCCGCTTCAGTAGTAATCGGTAGCTTTGAACTGACACCTGTGGACCCTTTAGTCCCTTTTATATTTACTTTTTATTATTGGTTTCATTTTCAAAGTTCTTTTTTGTCTGTTTGAATGTAAACTTCGAAATGTGTCACTTCAATTAAATATACGTTATTTATACTTTTTGTTCAGTATTTCCTTTGAGTATTAAATGAAGTTTAAGATTATTTCGGTTTATCTTTTTGCTTTGTATGTAACGAGAACATAAAAATATATATATATACTTACAGACATGGCACAATAACATACCGTTATATGTATGTATGTATATCAGTGGCGAAAGGTGAAATTTTAATACGAGTAATCCTGTCAGTAAGCCTGAATAGTAAATATACCTAAATACTTTTCAGTTCCTTCATCTCGCCAATATATTTTTTTGGAATTTGAGCACAATAGATGGAAACAAAATATTTTATTGTTTTTCAAAACAATGGTTAATTAATGTAATTAAAAATCCAATAAGTCTATGGGAACTGGATAATATGAACCCTTCGCCACTGATGTAAAATCATGCAATAAAACAAACAAAATTATTGAATTCATGTTTTGCGAAGTTATGTTGCTATTTATACAATATAAAAAAATCATTCACTGGTCTAAACCTAAATAATATATTAATTAGATACAATTAAATTAGACAGAAATATAAATCTCACAAATATACATACAGATATTAGAATAATTACATAGTAGGTATATTTAAGTTTAATTCTATTACTTACATAATTATCGCATATTAATTTAAATGTATAGGTTCTTAGGCAATTAAATACATATATACAATCTAATTAATCTTTATTGATATATAGGTTTCAATATCTTACAATTAGCTCTCACAAATAAATCAAGATAAGCGACATCTATGAAACTCACGTGTCAACTATTGTTCTTCGTAACGCCATCTTTAGTTGATTTTCAAAACTGCCAACGTATATTGTTTTGCTTACAATCACTGATAGATGGCGGTGTAGCAAAGCCAATAGAACTTTTAGAATAGGTATAATAAATTAAATTGCATATAGATGGCGCTATAAGTTTCTTCAACGGTTAAATTACTAGCTGCAAAGAATAGGTATATAACATGTGTATTCTTTGCTAAGGTTGCTATAACTATACATGCAATAAGCTTTTCATATATTTTATATTTTATTTTCTTTTTTATTTGATAAACAGAAACAAGTCTATCCCTCGGGAGCCGTATATTTTTCCGGAATAAAAATTCTACCCAGATTCGTTCTACCGTTCTGGTGTGAAAAAGTAACAAACATCTATACATACTCACAAACTTTAACATTTATAATTTTAAAACTAATACGGTTTATAACATCATAGACTTAACTTTCAATTTTCATATAAAAGTAACATTGTATTATTTTCTCTATACATAAATGAATATATGGAAGAAATCGCTCTTTTAGCGATAAGGTCGCCTCTTGTACCTTATACTATATTTTGTATATATTTCTTTTCTCTTTTTGTATGTACAATAAAGAGTTATTTATCTTCAGCCGACTTCCAAAAAGAAGGAGGTTCTCAATTGGTCGGAATCTTTGTTTTTTTTTTATGTAGGTACATCGATTACTCGAAGAAGCTTGAACCGATTTGGATTTTTCTTTGTTTCGATGGGTATACTTCCCAGGTGGTCCCATTTAAATTTTATCGAAATCGGTCGAGCGGTTTTTAAAAAAATGAAGAAAAAGTTTTTTTTTCTAATTAAATTGCTTGATCAAATATGTTATTAAAAAAAATTCTTCTTACATATTACCTGCTTATTACGTCTATACTAAAAATGGAAAAATAAAACTTAAAAAAAACCGACTTCCGGTTGATTGGTTTTACGATGACGAGTCTTCTTTTTGACAATAATTGTTATTACTGAGTATTTCTATCTGGTACTTTCCATTAATGGATGACGAACGTATTTATCGTACAACACTTTTATATAACAACTTTAAAACATTAAGTCGTACATAATGAGTTTTTTTTTAATGCATTTGGCATAGGACTTTTACAATGGTATTTATAAATATATTTAAAATCTTGAAATTGTAAAGAAAGTATATAATTATACTAAT